CTGTTCTTTCCTATTAAAGCCAGAAGTGTGCAGGTCCTGGGCCACTGTCCTGAGCCCCCCTGGGAGGCCCCTCTGTTCTCTCCTATTAAAGCCAGAAGTGTGCAGGTCCTGGGCCACTGTCCTGAGTCCCCCTGGGAGGTCCCTCTGTTCTCTCCTATTAAAGCCAGAAGTGTGCAGGTCCTGGGCCACTGTCCTGAGCCCCCCTGGGGAGGCCCCTCTGCTCTTTGTTGTGTCTTTTCCTCTCTGGAAACTCTGACTCGGTGTTCGCTCCTGAGTAGTGATGGCACAAACAGATCCTGGGGGCCTCTGTCCGTCGTCACTGTCCGCCAGCCGTGGCTCCCCAGGCCCTGGGCCCTCTGGAGGGGCTCTGGTCCACCCGCCGTCTGTGGCCTGGCTGTGTCCTGGCCTCCTGTGCCCCACCTGCCTGGTGCCCTCAGCAGCCTCAGTCCATGCCTGGCCTGCCTGGACACTGTCCAGCCGCTCTGCTAGAGGGACACCTGGCTGATGCCCACCCTCTCAGGTGGTCTCTGCCGTAGCACTCGCCAGGCCTCCCGGAATGGCCACATGTGCCCAGGTCCTTCTGAGTGGTCTCCCTGGTGTGGAGCTGGGTCCCACTGTGGGAAGTGGCATCCTGGACCTACCCCAGTTGCCCCCATGCAGAGAGGGTCCGAGGTGCTGTCCTGTGGGTAGAACCCCACCTCTGAAGAGGGCGCGCCAAAGGAGGGGCCAGTGCACAGAGACCCCATCACACAGGAGGCTGCTTCCCAGGAGCCAGAGAGACTCGGGGTTTGCAGAATGACCCAAGATGGGGCTTGGCGCGGCACGGGCGGGAGTGAAGGCCATCTGAGTGATCGCAGGAAGCCCTTCCCGAAGCTCCCCTGTTGGGGAGTGTTGGCCCAGAGCTTCCCAGCTCAGGTGAGAGGTCCCCACTCAGTGTTCTGAGGACTTCACCTTCTCTCTCAAGAAACCCTGCAGTGGGGAGGCTGGAGTGGACAGGGTCAGTGCGAAGCTGTCTCTGCCCTGGTGGACTTCAGCAAGCTGACCTTGGTCTCCTCCCGGCCCCTGAGGGCAGCGATGTCCTGGTGATGTGCACATGTCCCCTGCTGGCCCTGGCCAGTGTCTTGGGCCAGGGGTGGTCTGTGTCCAGGCTGCTGAGGTCTGGGGGTAGAGCCTGCTCTCCAGAGGTCCTCCAAAGGGCAGGAGCAGGGCTGCAGGGTCAGTGAGTCGCAGGGTCAGAGGGCAATGAGGTCTGAGGGCAGGCGTGGCTGGGGAGCCAGGCTGCTGGCCATGATGGATGGTCCTCCAGGGTCTGGGAGGCCCTGGGCCCCTTGCAGGAGGTGGCCTAGGCCCCCTGCCCGATCATGTTCCTGTAGTCAGGGGCGATGGTCGGCTTCAGCTCCACCACCGAGGAGAAGATCCTGTTCACCTGTAGAACAGCACAGGTGAGCCCACAGTCACCTGAGGGAGAGCTGTGGACAGTGAGGGGACAGGGTGGGGACAGTGGGAGGAATGGGGTAGGGAGAGTTTGGGTAATTGGGTGGGGTACACGGTAGGGACAGGTAGAGGACAGTTGGGCACAATGTGGGGAGAGTGTGGGGGTAGGTGGGGAGCAGGGTGGAGACGGTGTGGTGGTCAGCATGGAGCATTGTGGACACAGCATGGGACACACTGTGGGACAGCATTGGGACAGCATGGGACACACCGTGGGACATGTGGAGATGGCATGGGGACAGCGTGGGGACAGCATGGGACACACCGTGGGACATGTGGAGATGGCACAGGGACAGCATTGGGACAGCATGGGACACACCGAGGGACATGTGGAGATGGCATGGGGACAGTGTGGGGACAGCATGGGACACACCGTGGGACATGTGGAGATGGCATGGGGACAGCATTGGGACAGCATGGGACACACCGAGGGACATGTGGAGATGGCATGGGGACAGCGTGGGGTCGGCATGGGACACACCATGGGGCAGGGTGGGGATGACATGGGACACATCATGAGAATAGTGTGGAGATGACATGGGACACATTGTGGGACAGTGTGGAGATGGCATGGGGACAGTGAGGGACAGCATGGGACACGGGGGATGGCATGGGGACAGCACGGGGACAGTGTGGCCGACCTTGAAGAGAGTGACAGTGGCACTGTAGCACACGCTGAGCAGGAAGAGGCTGATGAAGATGGTGATGGTCGTCCACAGCCCGTCCAGCTCCCCGTCCTGGGCCTCTGCACAGCTGTCATCCAGGCTGAGCTCTGGACAGGGAGGGGGTGGTCAGTGTGTGGCGCCAAGGTGGGACCTGGGAGCTGCCTCCCGGGGGCCAGGAGAAGGGCCGCTGGGCTGGGCCAGCAGTGCGCGGACTGGGGCCAGGTTTCCCTGGTGGCCTTCTCTGGTGGGCCTCAGCCCCCGGCTCCTCCCACTGGGGCCCAGCTCATCCAGACCCCCTGGCTGTGGACGGTGGCCTGGACTTCATGGGCGCTCCTTGCTGCGAGCTCCAGGCGTCAGTGCTGGGGCAGGCCAGGCAGCGCTGGGCCTGTGACCCTGCAGGGATGTCCCCGCAGCCTGTGTGGCCCCTGCTTATTCAGTGGTGACCAGGCCCAGGGGCTGGAGAGATGGCAGAGCCTGTCCCTGGTGTGGCCCCAGCTACAGAGACAGTCTGCGCTGGGGAGGGAGCTGGATCTTGTGGTAAGGGGGTGTGTGCCTGTGTGGGGGTCAGTGTGGGTGTCGGGCCTGGGTGTGTCAGGGCTTGGGTGTAGGTGCCTCCTGAGAGGAGGCTGGGATCTGAGCTGGTCAGTGTGTGAGGCCGTGGGTGGTCCCGTGTGCTTGTGAGTGTTCAGTGACTGGACACTTGCTGGCTCTGGGTGTGCATGTTGCCCGTGTGAGGCCCCAGTGTGCACGAGTGTGGGCAGGTGCCCTGTGGGTTGGTCCAAAGGGTCTGTGCTCTGTGTCTGTGTGGTTTTCTGGACAGTCCCTCCCTTGGGCCATTCAGGGCTGCCGGATGTGGGTGTTCCCAGGGGTGGGCAGTGCATGGAGGGCCTATCCCACTCCCATGGCTAGTCAACCCCTGCATGGACACAGAGAGATCCTTGGACAGGGAATCAGGACACAAGGACAGTCTCTGACAGGGGGGCTGTGTCCTTTCCTGGGGGCTCCTGAGAGGTATCTCCCTGATCAGCCAGAGTTGCTGGGGCTGGGGAAGGTCTGGGAGAGGCTTAGCCTCTGGCCGAGCCTCGTGCCCTGCGGGGGCAAACCCCAGCCAGCTGGGCAGACAGTGGCTCTGGTCTGGCCATGTGGGACCCCTCCCTCTCTCTAGCCGTGACAACGTGGGCCTCGGAGGCAGCCTGGCCGACAGCCCACAGCCCAGACATGCCAAGAGCTCTCTGCCTCAGAAAGAACCAGGATAGTCTCATAGGGTCCCAGGGCAGGCTGGGTGCTTTATTCACACGGGCAGGTGAGGGAAGGTGACAGTGTCCTCTGGGGTGATGACTCGCCAGGCTCATTTACCCGGGGACCGGGGCAGGGTCTTCTGGGTGGAGTGGTTGTGCAGAGCCTCGTGCATCACTGAGCATGTGTAGAGGTCTCCTCGCTGCCATCTGTTCCTGTCCACCCTGAGCTTGCTGTAGAGGAAGTAGGTCCCGTCGGAGTCCAGGACGGGCTCGGTGGTCTTGTAGTCCTGCTCCGGCTGCCCCTGCTTCTCCCACTCCACAGAGATGTCGGCAGGGTAGAAGCCTTGGATGTAGCAGGTCAGACTGACGGTGTTCTTGGTCAGCTCCTCCTGGGCCGGGGGCAAGACGTACACCTCTGGCGCCCGGGGTTGCCCTGTGGAACAGAGGTCAGCACAAAGGTCACTGACAGGGCAGTGGCAGGCTGAGCCAGGCTCCATGTGACCAGGCAGCCCCATGCCCTGCCCTGCCCGCTGCCCTCTCCCACCTGCGACTTTGGAGATGGTCCTCTCGATGGGGGCTGGCAGGGCTTTGTTGTTGACCTTGCACTTGAACTTCTTGCCATTCAGCCAGTCCTGGTGCTTGATGGGGAGGACACTGACCATGCGGAATGTGCTGTTGTACTGCCTCTCCTGTGGCTTTGTCTGAGCTGTGCTCACCTCCACGTTGTCTACATACCAGCTGAACTGGACCTCGGGTTCTTCGTCGCTCACATCTACCACCACGCATGTGATCTTGGGGGTCAGGGAGATCATGAGTGTGTCCTTGGGCTTTGGGGGGAAGATGAAGACGGATGGTCCCCCCAGGATTTCCATATCTAATGTGGGAGAGATGGAGGACACGGGTCAGCACTTGGGGCCTGCCCTCTGCCTGAGACTTCTGTGGGCACCCATCCCGCTCCTTCATCTTGGGGCAAGGCCTGGTGACTTACCTTGACATGGTGACTTCCTGGGATCTGCAGGAGAGAAGGATGGGGTTACTGAGATCTGGAGGAGGAAGGCACCCGCAGAGACAGGGGGAATTTTACCCTGGGGGTGCTCAGGTTAGGGCCAGGCTGCTCTTGGGTATGGCTCTTGGCAGGCCTATGACCAGTGCCCAGGAGCCCACACGTGGGCATCCAGACTGTGCCTGCCCTGGGCCTGGTGGAGACAGAGCACTCTCCCTGGGCATGAGAGGCATGGCAGAGTTCTCCAGGTGGCACAGACCTGCCTGACTTCCAGAGGACCCCTCCCCGTGCAGGCTGTCCCCTTACCAATGGTCTTGTCCACCTTGGTGCTGCTGGCCACGTGGGCTACATTGCAGGTGACGGTCTGGTTGGGCCAGGTGCTGGTGGGCACAGTCACCATGCTGGTGACAGAGTAGAGCCCTGACTGCAGGACAGCTGGGAAGGTGCGGACTCCACTGGACAGGGATCCTGAGTTCCATGTCACGGTCACCGGCTCAGGGAAGTAGCCCTTGACCAGGCAGCCCAGGTTCACTGAGGAGCCAGATGTGTCCCTAGAGCAGGGGGCCAGGGGGAAGACTGATGGGGCCGTGGTCGAAGCTGCAAGAGAGAAGATACTGAGTGAGCTGTGCTGGACGCAGATGGACCCAGGCCCACAGAAGGTCCGCTGTCCTTGGCTCTCCCCAAGCATCAGGCAGGGTCTGTTGTCTGGGTTTGTGGGCATCAGGTACCCACCTGGTAGGCCCCACCTCCCTAGGTGATCCCCCACCTCAAGGATGCCCAGGCCCGGCCAGACCTCTCCTGATGGGCTTCCAGAAGGACACAGAGCCAACTGTGCAGTTAGCCCTGTGTGCCACCCCCTGCCCCTGTGGGAGAGGCTGCACGCGGATCCTTTAGCATCTGATGACCACTGGACCTGTGTGGCCCTGGGGCTCCCAGCCCCATCCTGGGCTCTACCCATGGTGGGTGCCATCTTGGGTCCTGCTGGGCCCACCAGCTCCCTGTCCCCATGTGCTTCCTGTGGGCATCTGGCCTGACTAGTGGCATTGTTCTCAGGTCCCCTGTGCCCTCCACTGTTACCGAGGAGTCCTGCTCTGGGTGGGGTTGGCTACCTCTGCCTGGGCTCTCCTCCCTGCACCTCGGCCCAGAGCCCAGGCCTTGGACCTAACCCTGCAGGGTCAGGTGTTTTGGAGTTGGCTCTGAGCAACCCAGTGCCCTCGGTCCTGGCCCTGGGCCCTAGGCCCTGCCCTGAGACAGCCCCTGGGACCCTCCTGATTGGCTCCCCCTAGCCCTGAGCTCTGGCTCATCACTGGACCCGTCCCTCCCCAGGTCTCCCTGCCCTGCTTCCTGAGGTGCACCATGGGCACTCTCCTTGGCCCTCTTGCCTGCCCCTCAGAGCTCCTCTGCAGCTCTGGCCTGGCCTCCAGGCACCTGTGAGCCCCGACCTCTCCCGAGCCTTCCTTCCCAGGGCCCTTGGGACTCAGCCCAGGACCCCCAGCCCTCAGCACAAGGCCCTGGGCACACAGCCAGGGCTGCCATCTGCTCATCTGGGAGCGCCAGCCCCAGAGACCTCTCCCCCAGCCTGGCCCTCCTGGGCCAGCACTGGTTCTCCCTGTAGCCCCATCTTGCCCCTTGCCAGGGACCCCAAGGAGCCCCAAGCCCCTTTCTTCCCTTCCCACCAGCTTGGTCCCGCCAATCCTCCTGTGCTGTGGGGAGGGAGGAATGTGGACAGTCCCGGAGACCAAGGATGGGTGATCTGGGGCCAGTGGGAGGGCAAGACCAGCAGGTTCCTGATCTCCCTGGGCTGCCCAGGTCCCCCAGCACCCTACCTGCCCCAGCTCTCCTGCGGCAGTTCTGCCTCTGTTGCCCAATGCCTGGGGGTCCCACTGCCCACTCTGCCCTCCATCCGTCCAGCTTGGCTCCTCTGCTGGCCTCCCCCACCCAGGACTGGTTTGCTTCCAGAGCCCGGAAGCACCCATCCTCTCTTCGGCCTACTCTTCCCAGCAGAGCCCTCCTGGATGAGCTCCTGGACTCTGTGACCCCCCCGGCCTCCCCCGTTGCCCCCAGTTCCGGAAGCTTCCCTGCTCCCCTTGCTCTGCCTGGTCAGCTGTCCTGTAAGCACCAGGTTCTGGAAGCTCAGTCTCTTCCCAGCAGTCGGCCGACGGCTGCTTCCCTGAGCTCCTGTCCCCTTCTGGCTCCCTCCCACCTTGAACTCAGCACACCTCAGCCCTGCTCTCTGCTCTGGGCAGCCCTCTGCAGCCCCCCCTCAGCCCTGCTCCCCGTGGCCCTGCCCACTCCTGGCAGCTCAGAGCACAGCAGCCGTGGGCGCTGAGCCCCTTCTAGCCTCCCGAGCTCAGTGGGGCTGCCTGCACAGCCCTGTGCTGTGTGCTCTGGATGCCCAGAGCCCCTTGCTGGCCACTCCTGGCCTGCCCTTGCTCACCTGCTGCCCCACTGGCCTGTGCAGGATGCTTTGCCCCTGGTGCTTTGCTTCTGCTTCCTGTTTTGTCCTCTGCTCAAAAGGTCCCCGCCCTGGGCTCTGCAAACCCTCCTCAGCCCCTGTTAACCTGCATCTGCTCAGCTCCTGCAGGGACCCAGGGACCCTGTAGCTGGACCCTTCAGACTCTACCTGTGGGATTGCCCTGGTCACCCACCTGCTCCAGGACACTGTGGCTATTTTCTGTTCCTATGAGTTCTGGGAATGTCAGCAGACAGAGTGGTCCCCGACCTGCCCCAGCTCACCTGTAACTGTTATGTTCTGGTCCCCTGAGCTCCTGGGGCTCCTAAGCCCTGCCAGAACTACCACTGGCCAAGTTCAGAGTAGTTTCTCTGCCCCTGGCTCCTGACATCCTGGGGCTTTCCGGGCACCTCCCGCACCCCCACCTGCCCTAGCTAAGCTGCAACTGCTCTGCCAAGTTACCCTGAGCTCCTGGGGCTTCCCGGGCTCCTCCAATGTCTCCACCTGTCCCAGCTCACCTGTAAGTGCTGTGCCCAGGTCTCCTGAGTTCCTCAGGCTTCGCTGGCACCTCCAGCACCTCCCACTTCCCCCAGGTTAATGGTTACTTCTCTGTCCAGGTCCCCTGAGCTCCTCAGGTTTCCCAGGCACCTCAAGTACCCTCACATTCCCCAGCTTAATAGTAAGTGCTCTGTCTAGGTCCTCTGAGCTCTTGGCGCTCCCCAGGCACCTCCAGCACCCCCACCTGCCCCAGCTCAATGGTAACAGCTCTGTCCAGTTCCTCTGAGCTCCTGGGGCTCCCCAGGCACTTCCATTACCCCCACCTTTCCCAGCTCACCTATAACTGCTCTGTCCAGGTCCCCTGAGCTCCTTGGGCTTCCCAGACACCTCCAGCCCCCCACCTGCCCCAGCTCACCCGCAGCTGCTCTGCCCAGTCTCCCGGAGCTCCTGGGCTTTCCTGGCTCCTCTAGTACCTCCACCTGCCCCGCTCACCTGTAACTACTCTGCCCAGGTCCCCTGAGCTCCTGAACCTTCCCAGGCCCCTCCAGCAATCCTACCTCCCAGATCACCTGTTAGTGCTCTGTCCAGGTCCACAGAACTCTTGGTGCTTCCTGGGCACCTCCAGCACCCCCACCTGCCCCAGCTCATGTGTAACTGCTCTGCCCAGGTCCCCTGAGCTCCTGGGGCAACTCAGGCTCCCCAAGCCCTCCCACCTGCCCAGGTCACCTGTAAATGCTCTGCCCAAGTCCCCTGAGCTCCTGGGACTTCCCAGGTACATACAGCACCCCCACCTGCCCCAGCTCACCTGTGACTGCTCTGCCCATGTTCCCTGAGCTCCTGGGGCATCTCAGGCTCCCCAAGTACTCCCACCTGCCCAGGTCCCTAGAACTCCTGGGGCTTCCTGAACACCTCCAGTACCCATACTTCCCCAGCTCACCTGTAAGTGCTCTGCCCAGGTCCCTAGCTCCTGGGGCTTCCCAGGTACCTCCAGCACCCCACCTGCCCCAGCTCACCTGTAAGTGCTCTGTCCAGGTCCCCTAAGCTCCTGGGGCTTCCCAGGCACCTCCAGCCCCCTCACCTACCCCAGCTCACCTGTAAGTGCTCTGTCCAGGTCCCCTGAGCTCCTGGGGCTTCCTGGCCACTTCCAGCACCCCCACCTGCCCCAGCTCACCTGTGAGTGTTCTGCCCAGGTCCCCTAAGCTCCTGGGGCTTCCTGGGCACCTCCAGTACCCCACCTGCCCAGCTTACCTGTGAGTGCTCTGCCCAGGTCCCCTGAGCTCCTGGGGCTTCCCAGTCACCTCCAGCCCCCCCACCTGCCCCAGCTCACCTGTGAGTGCTCTGCCCAGGTCCCCTGAGCTCCTGGGTCTTCCCGGTCACCTCCAGCCCCCCCACCTGCCCAGCTCACCTTCAGATGCTCTGCCCCTGGTGCCCTGCGCCCTGGGCTTCCCCAGCCTTCCAGCACTCCACTGCCCAGCTCTCCTGTAGCTGCTCTCCCTTGGTTCTCTGAGCCGCGGGACTGCCCAGGTCCCTCAGCATCCCTGCTTCCCCTAGCTCACGTGTGGCAGCTTGGACCCTGGTCCCAGGGGTGGCTCCTGGGTGGCTCACGACTCTCAGGCACCCCACCTGCCCAGCTCACGTGCACCTGCTCTGCCCAGGTCCCTGAGCCCAGAGCTGCCTCGTCCCACCCCACTCTCCCTCAGTGGAGGCTGCGTCCTCCTCTGGCCTCCCCCTCTTCCCAGGACTGGCCTTGCTCCCAGAGCCCCCGAGGCGCCCATCCTCTCTCCAGCCAGCTGTGTCCAGCAGAGCCCGCTGGCCCTGCCCTGCCCCTGGAGGAGGCCTGGACCCTGTGTCCCTGTGCTCCAGGCTTCCTCTGCACCTGGCTCTGGAAGCTGCCCTGGCCCTGCCTCCTTGAGTTCCCCTTAGCTCTGCCTCATACCCACAGTCTCTAGGAGAGGCCTTGTTGTTCCTCTGACCCCCTCCTGCCCCATCCCCTCATGTCCGTGAGTAGGACGTGTGTCCAGCTCTGGTGGCCTGGCAGTGCCCTGCCCCTGGTTCCTGTCCCTCACTGGTTGGCACTTTCTAAGGCAGACCCCTGGGTGCTGTGCGGGGCCCTCTGTGTGGGGGCTGTGCTCTTGCTCCCTCCCACATCCCGTGGCCCGTGGGATGCTGGTCCTGAAGGGCCACTGTGGCCCAGGCTCCATGTCCTCTCCTCCTGTGGCCTCCTCTCCCTGCCAACCCCACTCACCTTGTGGGGCCTTGAAGGGCGCTTGCCAGCCCTTCCTGCTCTGGCCCCTTACTGCCACCCACTCTACTCTGTCCTGTGCTCCCAGGCGTCACGGCTGTTGTCCCCAGAGGTGCAAGTCCCTCCCCGCCCCCGCCCCGCAGAGACTAAGAACAGGACTAAAACTGGTGGCATGCACACTTCCCTAAGTTCCCTTTTCTTCTGGGGGTTCTGGGTCAGAGGGTGAGGGGGCTCAGACCTGGGTGCGGCCATCTCGTGTGGACATGTGGTGGTGGGGAGCAGTGCCCTTGGGTCCCAGGGGAGAAGGGGGAGGCCCAATCCCACCTGCTGCTCTGTGCTCCTGCCTGGGGCTGGCCCGCGGCTCTGCAGTTAGGCCCTCCACTCTGACTGCCTCGTTGGAGACTGGGACCCCTCAGTTCCTGGGCAGCCCCCTGACCCTCTGACCCCAGCCTGGTTCTGGTGGCTGCTTCTCCCTGGACCTCTCTGCAGACAGCTCTTCCTTGGGAGAACCCAGATCCTCCAGAGCAGGAGGAGAGTGGGGGCCTTGGGATTGGTGGGCACAAGCTGGTGGGAAGGGAAGAAAGGGGCTCGGGGTTCCTTGGGGTCCCTGGCAAGGGGCAAGATGGGGCTACAGAGAGAACCAGTGCTGGCCCAGGAGGGCTAGGCTGGTGGACAGGTCTCTGGGGCTGGCGCTCCCAGATGAGCAGATGGCAGCCCTGGCTGTGTGCCCAGGGCCTGGGGATGCAGGAGATGGGAGAGCTGCAGAGGCACTGGGTGCTCAAGGTGTCCACCCACAGAGGGCAGGAAGAGGGGCCCGTTCAGGGCCTGAGCAAGGGCTGCCAGGGGGGGCTGCAGGTGAGGGAGAGGTGGCCATTAGCTTCCTGGGTCTGAGGGGAGGGAACAGAGCAGAGGGTCACCGGCGAGGGGGACATCTTGGCTTCCTCAGTATGTGGGTGCACTCCCTCCTTGAGGGTCCAGGACTGCTGGGCCAGCACTGGAGAGGGAAACAGGGCTCCCCTAGGGCCTGGGGGAGCTGGCCACCCACAGGGAAGGGGAGCGCAGTGCCTGGGCGGGTGTGAAGGGTGAGAGAGGAGGTGGGGGACCTGAGCTGGGCTCTGGAGGGCCCTGAGGATGAAGGCTCTGGAAGAGCAGGAACAGGGAGGCGTCCCCTGTTCAGAGGCCAGGCCATGTCAGGGCCTGGGAGGGGTGAGTGATGGGAATGGAAAGGAGGTGGAGAGGGTGTTGGGGACGTCAAGGCCCCCTGAGGAGTTGTAGAGGAAGCATATGGGATGGTGCATGGGTGAGGGACAATTGTGTGAGCCCGGGTCTCTGAGGAAGTGTTCAACATGAAATGTCCTGGGGCCAGCTGTCACGGCGTGCTCCGGGGCCTCTGGGAGCACGCCATGCACCCACCAAATGGCACCCACAGGACAGGCCAGACTCATGGCATCCCCGAGTGCCCCTCTGGTCCCGGGGGGGCATGTGGCAAGGACTGGAGAGGCAGGGTGTCCTGGGCGCACACCACCCCTGCATTGGTGGCTGTGGGGGCCCAGCTTCACCTTAGGTGGAGCTCGGCATGGCTCAGCCTTACAGGCTGGAGTTCCAGGGGCCCCACCCAGCTCAGCACACCAGCAAGGCAGGCTGGGGAGGCCTTGTGTGGGCTGCAGGGCTGGCAGTGGAGGGGGACACTTGTGGTCATCTGCTCAGGCTGCCAGGACTCAGCACCAGGGACAGGGAGGCTGTTGTAGGGACAAACCAGGCAAGGCACCGAAAATAGCAGAAAACAGTTTTATTTGGCTGCAGCCAGGCTCAGAGGGCACAGCATTTGCTGTAATCAATCAATCCCCTGAACCCCAAATTCAGGGAGTTTCAGAGTTTTATACCCAGCGTGTAAGGGGAGGGGCTCAGAAGTTCACAGTCTGCAGAAGTTCACATGAAAGCAGGTTTTTCTTGCATTGTTCTGGGCAAGTTAACTCTTCAAGGACCACACCTGAGAAGGGGAGAGCTTCTTCTCCCCTTTCTTTCCTCCCCCTGCCAGCTGTTACCATGGACCCAGTTGTAACTTCTCTTAAAAATGTAGATGTCTCTGTGAAGCCCAGCTCAAGGCCAGAGGCCTTGTTTGCACATTTCTACAAACTACTATTCTGGGTACATTTGTGGAAAACTAGTAAGGGGGTGCCCAGCACCTGGAGTGCAGGTATCTTCCCGGCTAGTGGCCAAGTAAAATAGGGCAACACGAAAATAGGAAGTTTATCTGCATTGGACTCTTTTGCAGAGACTCTTTTGCTGACAGCCCCCAAATCAGCCGTGGTGAGGATTTCTGGATAAGCCCAGGTAAAACTTTTCTGTGGAGAATGTGGGTGCTACTTCAATTCCCCCTTTAATGGTACTCCCCATAATTTAATTGCTGCAGTCCGGCTGGGCAAATAACCGGGAGGTGACAAGCAACTTGAAGGTTGAAGTGGGAACTACTTAATTGCAAGTGAACTCAGTGGGAACTGAGCAAGAACTCAAAGCAGCAGGCACCCAAGGTAGCAGGAGCCGCTTCTCTGCCGGACAGCAGAGGTATATATACTTCACTAATTACACACAGCTTAACTTAATTAACATCATCTAGATATAGCAGTCAGCCAATAAGGAATCCTCATCATCTTAATGGCTCACTGGCCTCACTTCACAAACCACTCCTCCTGGCAAAGTGCCAGGCGCCATCTTGACTTGATTTGCATCCCCAACATCTAATCCTTTAAATTTAAGAGCATCATTACCATTATCTTGGCGTAAAGCCTTATGTAATGCCAAAACCTTAGTTGTTGTCATCCTTTCAACAGCAGCTTCTATAGTGGACCCAATAGTTTTAATGCACAGTGGAGCCAAACATGGGAGCAATGAACAGGTTAGCTGCAGAATACCCACTACACCAGTTAAGCTTTTAAATCTACCAAGAGTTGAAAACCATCTCCCAAAAGCATGTTTGGGACCCAAACTTTAATGCCCTTCTAGGTATGAACAAGCACATGTGCTGGTTCTCTTGTGTTGTTGGCTATATCATTAACTGTTTGTCTATTGTCATTGATTTGGATGCAACAATCTGAGCTGTTGAACTCTGCACATATTTCTTTTTCCCAGCCAGTAGGTAATCTAATGCCAAGTGGTTTTGATAGTTAGCCACTCACATCTCATCTGTTGTGTGGCTAGGAGATCAAAGGCTGTGGCAGTCCGATTAATAATAATTTCCAGTACAGCTTGTAAGTGAATAATTCTGTTTAACATGTAAATAGGAGTTCTATAGCTCCAACTGCCATTTTGTGCCCAGGTAGCAAGCGGGACCATTTGTGGCAATAATCCTCTGGGGTGGCCAGTTACCTTCACCTCAAGCTTGGTGACCTCCAAAATCAAGTTTCTTTCCAATAGAACTCTTTTTTTTTCTTTCCAAACAGCTATCCATCTAGAACATTCCTCTGGTGGAACAGGTCCTAATTTTACCACCTCTTGGTTATAGTGGATTGGCTTGACACATGGTTCACATGATCTCCACTGTTGGAATAGGAGTAGGGTAGAGCCTCTTAAGGTTATCAAAGGAAACCAAACTAAATGATAGACTAACATTTTGGTTAGCATAGGTTAAACGGCATAAGTTAATAAAGCCATACTAATAACACCAAACAAATCCTAGAAAACTTATATAAGCAAGAAAAAATGTGTGAGTGAAATTTTGTTACCCAGAGTCCAGTCAGTAGGAGTTACTGTTATCAAACCAGTAGCAAAAACCAAACAGAGAACTGTGTATATATCTAGAAGCAAGGGGTGGCAATGCATTACAGTATAAGAACTATCTTAGAGGTTGAAAGAGTTCATTAGTCCTGGTGGGACGTCTATCTTTCACCATGCATTGATAGCCAGTCCCTCCTGTGTGGCTGAAACAGGGCCGTAGTCTCCTCAAGCTTTGGCTGGGCAAAGACCAGTCAGCTTCCAGAGTGACTGGAGCAGGGCTGTTGTCCTTCTGATCCTCAAGCTTCTCTGGTGTTTTTTTTTTTTTTTTCTTTCTTTTTTTTCTGGATGGTCAGCGTCAAGGGCGTAGCAGCATCTGGAGAGCACTCCCAGTCCTCAGCTGCAGGCGTGAGTCTGGTGTAGTCAATCCAGGGACCTAGCTCTGCAACCTTTACTGCAGTTGGGGTGGATAAAATAACAGTGAAAGGGCCCTTCCAAAGAAGATCAGGGGTTATATATTCTATTCTTTGACCCAGACTCAATCTCTGTCTTGAAGGAGTGTGCACCTGGGTCAAACTTACTGGCAACCTTTCTCTAACCCATTGGTTGGGAACCTAAGTTTTCCCTAAGGCCTGAAGCTGTCATCTCAGGGTGAATTCTCCTATCTCTCTTAAGTCTCCCTGTAGTTCCCTAATAAGAGGAGGCCTCCCGTACATTGTCTCATAAAGAGAGAATCCAGTCCTCCTAGTGGGAGTGGATCTAATCCTCGACAGTGTAATAGGGAGAAGTTCATCTCAATGTTAGTGTGTCTCCTGTCACAGGTCACACAATTGAGACTTAAAGTCCTGCTCATCCTTTGAACTTTACCAGAACTCTGCAGCCTATAGGCAGGATGTAACTTTCATCTGATGTTTAAACACTTGGTCAGTAATCCTATCACCTCTGCCCAAAAGCTGGCCCATTGTCTGAGCCAATAGTTATTGGGATAAGAAAGCTGTAATCATTTCCCAGAGAAGCATCCTAGTATCTCCCTAGCCTTTTCAGGGCGGGTGGGAAATGCTTCCACCCAGTCAGAGGAGGAACACACAAAAACCAAAAGTTACTTATAGCCCTGTGAGCGTGGTAGTTCAGTGAAGTCTATTTCTGAGTCTTCAAAAGATGCTCCTCCTATACTTTGGATTCCTGGTGGGAGCTCTGGCCCCTGACAAGGATTGTTGTGAGCACAAACCTCACATTGTTTTCAGAATGTTCACGTGAAGTTTGTGAGCCAGGGGACATAGAAATGTTGACTCAGAACTGTCTCAAGTGCTGTATTTCCAATGTTTTCTCCTGTAGAACTATCTGATAAAGGCTGCGGCTAGAATCTCCGGGATG